ACCACTATAGGATTTCGCATACATGCCGGCGGCAAAAATCGTTAGCGAAGGCCCGAAAACCGTCGGCATAGCCTATGCCATCGGTTTAGATTCCTTCGGTAAACCTCGGATGCTCCTCGGCATATAGCCATATGTCGATGGCTTTAACAAGCCGTCGGCAAATAAAATTTGACAGTGTGTTCGTCCATCTCCGTCCGGACACGTGCCTGCACTAGCATTGGTCACGACGCAGACCTATGCTGACGGTGCAACCGTCGTCATAGACAAGATCTATGCCGATGGTTGTTCCGTCGGTATAGGTCTGCCACATGGTGCCCCCGGTAGCTCCCTACTGGTTTCCTACAGCGACGGCACAGCCGCCGGTATATCTCTGATCTATGCCGACGGGTGTACCGTCGGCATAGACAACACGTGTCACATCCTAGGAGCTCCGCCAAGGCTATGCCCATGGCGGCATAGTTTTGGTCAAAAAAATGTGGTACTGATTTGGTTCTGCCCTGGAAATTAAAACGGCTACAGCTAGAACATCATCATCACACATATAGCACCATCAACATCAATTATAGCACCATCATCAACTATATAACATCATCATCACATATAGCATCATATCATCACACAAAGCAACATCATCTAACCAACTATATAACATCAAAACCAAGTATAAAACATCATCATCACATATAGCATCATATCATCACACAAAGCATCATCATCATCTAAACCAACTATATAACATCAAAACCAAGCCGTCGGAAATGTTCACACATAGCACCAAGTCACATCATCATAGTCATCGGCCTTCGAGCACCGCCAAAACCCGAAGTCCACCGACAAAGAGCATCATCACTACAAAATGAAGAAGTACAACCATTTAGGATGTCATTTAGCATGGCATTTGGTGTAGTACCAAGTTTCTGGCTTGGAAATGTTCTGACTATGAAAAGTTGCGCCTTGAGAGTAGGGGACTAACCAGGAGGGGCGAGCCACTGGTCGAGCTAGAACAAGGAGTAACACCAACAAGAGCACAAAAACCACCACCAATGTTTGATCTGTGGGATCGCTACATTGTGTTTGAAAGAGAGATTAAGGAGAGATCTTAAGCTATTTGTTGAAGAATGGAAGGTAATGCTTGACTAGTTTGGCAATGTACTAACCAGAGTCCCTATGCCACGTGCCAAGAATTCTTCGAGCGTTAGCATTTGTGGGTATGGTTCAGGATTCGGTGGTGGTGGTCCCATTGGTGGAGCATATTCTGCATGTTAGTTGATAAGCGAAGACGGAGGTCAAAAATAATGAAAGGACAAAATTCATCTTGGCTGGTCAAAACTAACCTCCATTTGTGTGGCGCGGTAATCCTCGAGGCAAAGCCATTTGGCGTCGTGTTCAGCGCACTCTTGACGATAAACATTGAGATACCTAAAGTAGGCCTACAATTTGACATAATGGATCTAATCAGCATAGCCATGCAGGAAAGAAAAGTGAGAAAGAGGATGAAAAGGAGAAAATGCTTACTTCTTCCTCTCTGGATCGACTAGGCCATGCCCGAGATGGGTTAGCCACCCTTTGGAAGACTGGAGTTGTGTGTAACTGACTGTGGGCTAGATCACGCCATTAAGAAGTACGTGGCGACCATGTGACCTGCCTTGTCTAGACAAAACCACCACCGCCTCGTCGGTCTTCGACGGTATGGGATCAGGTATGTCCCTGTTCTGCCCACAAAATGCAGCCTCATAGGCCGTCAGATGTTCCTCGGCCTTGCCGTAGTAAGGGCCTTCCCCCTTCTTGGGAGTCTTCCACACACGGCCAAGCTTCTACGCCTCCGTATTTGAGATGGGCTTCTTCATCACGCCCTCCTGCAATGCCAAACAAATGTTGCATACATACGAACATGATGGGAAATAAAAGAAGGATGTTTCATATATATACCAAGTTCTTCTTATGGGATGGTGGCTCCGGTTTCCTTGAGAGTGTGTTCCATTAGTTCCACGGTTTCTCTGTTGATGTTGCTCATGGCCGCAAACTCTGCATCAGCCCCGAGACACCTATCCACCAATGTCACCCATCTATCACTCTTTCCAAAGAAACAAGAAGGAATCACCTAAATAATGGAAGCATGGCATTTCAAGACCAGACAATGAAACTTAGCACAAACGTGAGAATAAAAATGTTGTGCTACTTACGTCCATGTACTGCTCCTTGGTCATAGTGGGGCACTTTGCCCTCGCTCTCTGCTTGGCCATCTTCTTGTGGAGAACAATGTGGTAGTACTGCGTGATGGCGACCCAGTGCGCCACATGCGACATCTGGCGGAGCATCTTAACTGCAGTCGCCACCAAAACTTGGCCGGATCTGGCTTTGTCCTCCTCCGAGACTCTAAAGAATTCCTACAGTCATGCATATAACCATAATGGAACAAGTCATGAGTTAAGTGATGAACTATGAATGAAATGGACACAATATTTGACTACTGCACTTCTTACCCAAAAACGAGTGATCACGCCCTTAGCATGAGTTCTGTAGTTTGCTGGCAGCGTCGTAGCACTGCTAGCGTGTTGCTAACACCTGCTCCTCACATGACGGGTTCATGTTCGGGCGTGCGATTGCTACCCTTCGAAGACCCCCGAGCGGCCTAACCCTGGCTCGTTTGACCGGGAAAGCTACCCCTTCGACCGACAAATTTGGGCTTGCTAATTTCGTGAAATTTTTATGTCGGTTCGGCAACTTCCGTCCCAGGATAATATCCAAAGCATGCCTGAATCGGAGTTGTAGAAGTATCTTTTTAGTGTTTTTCTTTCAGCATG